GTCGCCGCCTCCTGCTTCAGGCTGAACGGCAGCGGGGACGGCTGCTGCGGGTCGCGGCTGGCCAGCCAGCAGAGCGTCTCGGCCGGCACCTGGGTGATCCGACGGCCGTAGCGCGCGATCTCCCGGTCGAAACTCTGGCCTAGCCTGACGAGCGCGCCCTCTGACGCCTCCCTCTCCTTCCGCGCTACCCAGCCTAGCTTGGCCAGCTCCCGGGGGGTCAGACCTTGCCTTGCGGCGTGCCACAGCTCGACTATATCCTTGCCGGCCAGGTGAGCTGCCCAGCCCATCTGGCGGACCCACGGCGACTCGAAGTCGACGCCGGCGTCGTAGCTGATCGTCCGGCGGCGCTCCGTGTCCTCGGCAGCCACCCTGGCCTCGTGCGCCGTCATGTAGGCCTCCCAGCCGCTCTCGGTATGGACCCTCGGCCCCGGCTCCGGCGCCGGCCCCGCCCCCTCCGCGTCTACCGGGCCGCCTCGCCCCGGCGCCGGGACGTCGACGACCCAGTACCGCCGGAGCTGCCGAGCTGCCGAGAACGACTGCAGCGCCACCTCGGTCCAGCGGCCGGGGCCCTCGTGCTGCTGGCGTCCGCCCCCCTCCGCACTGCTGCCTGCTCGGCTCGCGGCCCAGTGCTGGAGTATGAGCTGCTGGCTCGTCGTGAGATACCGACACGCGCCGCAGCTGAACCCTGCCTGGACTGCGAGCTGGGGGATCGGAGCGCTGCCGTCTGCTGGGAGGTCTGCTAGATACGGGTCGGCCAGCCCGCCCGCGGGAGCTGCTATCGCTGCGGCAGCGGCTGCGCGCTGGAGGATATGCTGTAGCTCGGCCCCCCTTGTCTTATGCTTCTGCCGGAAGTGTATGGCGACGTTCGCGCCTGCTCGGATTCCTGCTCTGCAGTATACGCAGACTAGAACGCGGGCGGGTGCGCAGAGGAGCACTACCCCCGCTGGCTCCGGCTCTGCCCCTCCTCCCGCCTCGAGACGGCTCGCTCTATCGCTGTCCTCTTCTACTACCCTCTCCATAGCTGGCGGATACTAGTGTCGGTACTGCTGGGTCGTAGGTTGTTCTCGTGTATTATATAGAGCGGGTCTTGGATACGACAGGTCTACGCTCGACCCGGCTCGCCGCGCTTAATATCTAATAGTAAAGGAGTCTATACTTTCTCTACTTTACCCTGCCTCGCCTGTCCCGTACTATGGCGCGCCCCCTTTTTTTGGTTTTTTACTCTTCGGTATATAAGCCCTTACATTAGACTTTCCAGACCCCAGCTAGGCTAAGGTAATAACCCTGGCTTTACTACTTAACTCCGGCCCTTTTAGTAAAAGTAAATTAGGTTATTATAAACGCTACTTACTATTATTAAAATTATTAGTTCTAAGCTCTATCGAGCCGCCGACCTGTCACCTATACGAAACGTTATATTATTTGAGAGATAACTGTATTTAGTTTAGAAACCAAATCTCTCATTCTTACTTTCTCTCGCCCATAAGGTAACGCCGATACTATGTACATTTCCTTATATCTGGGTCGGCGCTGAGAGAGCAGCGGGCCAGAGCCAGTCTAGAGTATATAAAGGCCTACTGCTATGAGCCGAGCGATCTGCCCCGGCCCCTTTACACGATAATCGAGTCCTCCTGTGCATTGCAGGCCGGACCGCGGGACATCTTCCAGGCGCAGTTCATGCACTTCTCGCCGCTCGCTCCGCGCCAGGCGAGACAGGCGTCGAAGAACTTGACCTCGTCCGAGGCGGGGCTGGTGGTGTAGAGGCGGCAGGGAGCCGCGTTCACCTTGGCTCCGTGAGCCACGAACATGAGCTCGAGGCGCGGGAAGGCGGGCTCGCCGACGGCGTTGCTCCGGTTGGGCGCAGGGTCCCAGAGGTACTCGCGCAGCGCTGCCTCGTCACTGAAGCCGGCGAGTATGAAGGCGTTGACGCCGACGGAGAGCTGTCTGTCCTGGACGGGTAAGTTGCCGGCGCGCGCGCGGAGGTCGCGTGCGATCTGCTGGTCTATATCGAAGTACTATAGAGCCCCATCTCGTTAGCTTTTGTCCGTGCTCTCCCCTTATCGCTGTGTGACTGGCGTCTGACGTACGTCTTCGTAGAGAATCTGCATTACGAATTGGTGGAGCCGCGAGGTGCTCGAGATGCGGATGAAGCCGCGGTTCCTAGCGCTCACTCTGAACGTCTGCTGGCCAAGCAGGGCGGCAATCTCCGGGCGGAAGCGGAGAGTCGGAGCGGAGGAGGACATCTGTGCGGCTGGACGGTGAGCAGAACTACGCAGAGGCGGCTGGCGGCTACACGGGAGGCGGGACAGACCTTGGCTGCGTCGAGCTGCGCGCGTGCTGTGTATCCTGTGTGTGGCGCGGCGCGGAGATGGCGAGGGCGAGGGCGAGCAGGGAGGTAGTGTGAGGTCGAGTTGAGATCTCGGTGATATGGGAGGGACGCGAGGCGTGTGCGAGGGCGGCTGCCGAGGCTGGCGATAGCTGTCTGATACTGGCCTGTGCTCGGAGGCCTGCGAGAATCGTTGTCAGTAGAGCTGTGCTTTTGCACGCGAGTGACTGGGGAATAAGCAGCGGCAGGCTGGGTTGCTGGAGCGGAGGCAGGAGGCGAGTGCTCACGAGTGTGCGGCAGGAGAGGAGGCAGCCGGCGCGCTGTGGTCGTCGTCGTGGCCGTGGTAGTTGTTGTGGATGTAATAGATGTTATAGGTCGGGCCTGGCGGGAGCTGGCGAGGACTGGGGGAGGGCGAGCCTGTGATCGCCGCTGCTGTGGCTGTTGCTGCTGTGTCTGCGGTCGCGAGGTCGGAGGAGGCGGTGCTCTGTCGCAGCTGCCGTTGTTGTGGGAGGTGGGATGTAGGCCGGAGAGGGCGGCAGAGGGCGATAGTCTAATATACGATCAAGAGGTCAGCGTGCCTGAGGCAGAAAGGATGGGCAGGACGAGGCAGGTACCTGGCGGCGCGGACGAGATACCTTGCTTGGGGCAGTCGGGCGTTTGTTATTGCGGTGAGGTTATGGCTGGGCGGAGGAACAAGCAGGAGGTGCGCAGGAGGTGCGGTGCTGAGGGCGCTGATGGAGTAGTCATAGTCCGGGAGAGGCCTGACTCACGTGTGACGGCGTTGTAATCACAGCGACGGCAGCGACGACGTCTCGCCGTCTATACTGCGGTGTTCTCGCAAACGCAATACGGCAACCGCGGCGGTGGTGGTGACCTTGTCGTCCGTGCTATGGCCTTGCAAACGCAGCAGCAGCGTTGACAACGCCTCGTCATCCGCTCTACTCCGAGCAAGCAAACATTCCGCGTTCTCGGCAGCGCCTTGTTCATCGTTGACGATAGTCCATTTACGTTGTGGCCTCGCCTCTCCTGCCTTCTCGCCGCCGCTGCCGCCGCCGCCTTCTCGTCGCCGCTCGCGCTCACAGACTCCTCAATCTACTCTGGCTCGTGCCTGCCTCGCCGCCTTCCCGTCGCCGCTCGCTCGCAGACTCCTCCGCCCACTGTCGCTCCTGCCTTCTCGTAGCTGTGCCTGATTCATTTCTGATTCATATAGCTGCCTCGCCTGCGCCGCCTTCTCTATAAGACCTCACGCTCGCGCGCTCCCCCTGCACAGCCGAACACCTCCTCGATTATACCTTCCACGTTATTGCCTCGCCTCTCCTGCCTTCTCACCTCGGCCGCCTTCTTGTCGCCGCTCGCCCTCACAGACTCCTCCGACCACTGTCGCTCGTACCAGCCGCCACAACTCTCCCACACCTCCTCGACTTATACACGCACGCCTCCCTCCTCTCCTCGGCAAGTAGCTCGACTGCGGCTGCCTCGACTATGGCGATCCAGCTGGTACAGAACTTCAATGTAAGCCGGCCCCGTCCCTCCCTCGGCCCTGCTCGTAATAGTGTAAGGCTGACGTGACGGCTGGGTGAGTCGCAGGCCCAGAGAGAGGTCGCTGTTCAAGGCCGCGCAAGTCGGCAGCTACGCTGGCCGCGCGAGGGTAACACCAGCCACCTCTTTACTGTTAGTATCGAGTTCAGGAATAGATTCCGCCTCGTGAGCTTCGCCCTCAATCGCCACATGGCCCTCGACCTCGCCGCCGGCCACGACGACTTACTCGCCCTGGTCCGCGCTCACCCCCAGGAGCGGCGTGACGCCTGCTTCTTCTTCGACCGCGACTTCTGGCACGACCTCTGGGTCGCGCGCACCCACGACGCCGTGCTGAGCATCATCTGCGCCACCCGCGGGCGTGATCTCCCCCTCTCCGTCATCCAGGACGACTGGGCCGTGAACCAGTGCGGCAACTGCGCCACCCGCTTCGTACAGGGCACGGCCCCCGTCTTCATAACCTGCCACACGCTCCAACTCGCTGCTGGTGGCCCCAGCATCTGCGCCCAGTGCGTTCTGGATCATGGCACCGTTTGCGGCTGGGAGTACTCGCCAGACGACGCTGCCGCACAGGATTCCGATGCCCGCTACCACACCCACCCACTGAACCGCTGGGACGGCTCTGACGCGGACGAGGATGTGGTGGCGGAGTACGAGGCGATGGCGGCGGCTGCCGAGGGGAGCACTTACTAACCGGGCACTATAACGCCGGAGCTTAGAGGAGGTATTGAGAGAGAGAGAGAGAGAGAGAGAGAGAGCTCTCCTTTTACTATGCCTAGATCTCTACTTGTCTAAGATAGCGACTCAATCCAGCGTTTTCTTACCTTGTCTTTCCTGGGCAACCCTTATATGACACGTCTAACTATATAACCTTCTCGCCCCCGCCTGTCTCGGCAACTCCCTCCCCGTCTCCTTCGTTTCGCCATAAGCTGCTACGCCTACGTGGGATAAACTTTATAAGGATAGAGGCTCTCAGGCTACTTTATAAGCAACTGGGCCTCGAGCCACTGCGCCCAGATCGTCGACTCTCCGCAGGCACAACCCACATCTTCGCAAGCAGCCAGCCCGCCACCTCCGCCAGCCTGCCACGACCTGGTCCTATATGTCCAAGTAAGCAGGCGGCCTTCCACCACAGAAAGGCCCGGTGGTCAAGCGGTACGACGCCGCTGGCGACTTCGCCATACGGAATCCCCGGTTCAATCCCGGGCCGGGCTGCGCGGAGAAAAGAATTGACAGGGCCCTCGGCCGCGCCGGTTCTTCTCTCCCAACCTTTTTGTCTTCCCGCTCTCCTCTTCTCTCCCAGCGCCAGCCTTGTGTTGCGCTGTCGTCCGTCGTCGTCCGGGGCCGCGCCGGGGGGCCCCGCGCGCGCCCGCCCCACAAGCTAACCCCCGACCGTTTTCCCATACAATAGTTGAGCTCAATTGGGGTAACGTAGTTGACCTCTATGGCCCGTGCCCGCCCCCCCTGCCGCCCCCCTGCCCCCGCCAAACTTGACCTCGATTGAGGTCAACTACGCCCGCGAATGATGGTCAGGCCGCCTGAAGTAGTGTGTGGCCTCAACTCCGGCTGAACCTGTATAGTGCGGTTGTGAAAGCAGTCTCCTCTTAACGTGTACTCGACCCCGGGCGGAGTCGCGTGGTGTATTTTTAGCAGTCTGCCTAGTGGTGTGGCGCGCTACTGCTGGCGCGCTTTTTGCGCGCCGGGTGCCGCTGCCTGTCAGCCCCTCACTTCAAATACATGAGCTTGAAACAACTCAATCCATTCCTTCTTCGCACCTTCCAGCTTCGATATGAACACGAGATTTGACGACCTGGCAACCGACGCCTTCGGTGCCGAACTCAGCTACCTATTCACAGATTTACACCTGAGTTCAGCACCACCGACTTTTCCATTCGAGACCCCGAAGCGTTCCACGCGGTTGTCTACAAATGTGCATCCGACGCGGCGTCGTTGAGCGAGCTCCGACATGCCCTCAGGCTAGAATCAGATCGCACAGCGCTGCTGTACACTAAGATAACTAAAGCGCTCGAGGAACAGCTGCTTGCAGCGTTGGCCGGATTTCCCCCACTGCGGCCTTCATTCCGTACTCGAGATGCTGCCAAAATCGTTCAATTGATACCTACATTGATGTCCTCTACGAATACATCTCCAAAGAGGACCAGGAGGAGCTCAACCGCCATTAGAGCAATCCCAGAGTCTTCAACGACCTCGAACGCTTAGCTTTCCAACAAAATACGACCAGTCGTCTTTCAAGACCATCGACAGACAATCACGTTGCCGCCGAGAACCACTTGGGCAACCACAAAGCTTCCCACGCACCCGAACTTGGGACCCATCCACGAAGCGCAGACAACGATCCCGTACCGTCCTTGTCGTACGTCAAGCCACGGCAACGCACCCAACACACCCAACGCTACAATCTACGAGAGACGGCACAGCGAAAAGCGATCGGTCGCCCGGTCGGAACGAACGAACACAAGTTTCGACAACGAGTGTCCAAGCCGAGTACACGATCAAGACGTCCTTCGACACGGGGAAAGCGCCGAGGACAACAGCGGGCAAACCCTGTGTGTAGGCGAAAGAGAGCTCTGCACCACCCCGCCGCTGCTTCGCAGGCTGCATTCGATGCGCTGAAGCATGAAAGTAGGTCTGCCACAGCGGCGCTAGGTACAACCGGTCACTCCCTGGTCTCGTTCGAAGAAGTCTCGATATGCCCCCACCAGAGGAGATGTGCTGGCTGATATGCCATGCGCAATGCCGGCCACGAGTTGGCCCAGTGATGTTCATGGTGCTCTTGTCTAAACACCGAGGCACCAATATCTTATGGCTGTGTAGGAAACCCATTCCACAGACTAACGAGAATGGCTAGACTATATCACAGGGCATCCCACAGGAATACGCGAAAGCTGGTCCCCGGGGAACGGCCATTCAGAGGGAGCCAGGCATCAACATGTCCGCCGTCGCGTTTCTGTTGTCGGATGAAATTGAGAGCTCGGGTGGAGAGGCCGATCAGCAGATAAGCACAATGGCAATGAATGTACATATTCACGTAGCTATGAATCAGGCGATCGCCTCATGGAGCATCTGAGGCCCAACTCCTGGTGCAGTCTCTGTCTTCTTTGCCAGACCTAACATTCGAATAAGCAACTGTGCCAAGCGCTTACCTCATGACAATGTGTTCTATGGCGCAAACATCTCGGCAACACATGTCAGGAGCCAGTGTCCTTTTCTCAGATGTGAACCTGTCCGAACGACACACCTCGGCCGACTGCCTGCTGCATATCACCACCTACCATGAAATGGAGGCGTGCCTCTTGGAAAGCGCCAGGCTAAGGAGGGTTACGACGCTAGACTTCGTGAAAGGGAAGGCGTGCGCTTTGCACGCTGGCGCTCAACCTCTCTTAGTGCTTCGCTAAGCGCCTTTCCCTCAACGGGGACGCTCTTGGTTGATATGCCGGTCGATTGTAAGGGGGGATCGCCTGGTGTAGCTCTCAATTGAAGGGGGGTGGTGGAACTGGCGTGCTGATCGGGATCGCGACGACAAGGAGATTGGATCGATGGGTGATGTTTTGGCGACGACCAGCCATGACAGCTTACCTGTGCACCATGTCAATGCAAAACGCGCAGCCAGCCAAGAGCGAATCGCATCACACACCCTACACAATAGCACTACATCAGGGGCTTGTGCCATTGGCTTCGCGTCGAGTCGCGCCCACGAGCCCCTGGATCTGGGGAGTCTCAGCACTGTACACAATTGAGAGCATGCTAATAGAGTTCCTCTCACTCCGCGTCATCAGTGCACCGCAACGCGCCCGTGTCCAAGACAGCAACCCCCGAAGCCCGAACCACAGTTGACCCCAAAGGTCGGATCGTGACACCTACCTCCATCAAAGACCGTCTGACAACAAAAGATTCTAATTCTGCTACCGCGGAAGAGCGGTTGAGCTAAGCAAGAGTGCACGATTCTGTACAAATAATCTGAAGTATAAAGCACTTATTGGCTGTAGTTCTGAGCCCGTGGGTTTACTAAGTCTGTGATCAAATTGTGTAATTAGCGTGACCTGGTTGCGGATTCGGTTGTAACCAATACCTTCCTAATCAGGAATGAATGATGGTGCCCCAAAATGAATGATCATTCTTTCCTTATTGGGATAGGCAGTGCTTGCCCGACAGAACAAGGAGCAACCAGCAGCATTGAGGGATAGGAGTGTTGAATCATCGAAACCCAGGTCATCTCCTCAGCATTTTTCTGTGTGCTCGAAGATCAGTGCCAAACACTAGAGCTTACTGCTCTACCGCACGTCCGCCATGAACCACTAAAATTTAAGGGCTCGGTCTGGCTACTAACGCCTGGCTTCTTAGGGCAATCACGCGCAGGAGTTTAAGGGGCTCTGGCTGCCGTTTTTATGCCACCCCCGGCTTGGCTGTGCTTCAGACTAACCAGAGTAGAGGCCTTCGTGCATCTTTGAGAGCAGAGTTATGGTTTCCTGCTACGCATTCATGAGGGCATGGTAGCCAACACTTACTCTTGGAGGTGAGGGGTGCGTGGTGCGGCTGAGCGCTTGCACAAGAATCAGTAACCCAATGTTAAATTGTGGCTCGTGTACAAAACTGCAGTGCATCGAGCGTCTGCGATCTGATTGAGTGAAGCACGCAAGCCGCGATTACACCCATAGCCTTGACTTCACGCTCTGTCGTCCAATGACAGCACAGCCGCACTGTTCAACCCTTCAGGCCTCCTGGTATTGTGGACCACTTCACGTAGTAACGTGACTGAACGAATCATACCGGTGGCGTGGGCGTCAAGCGCTAGCCGTGGAGTTGATCTTGGTGGATGTGCAGCAATTCTGGCTCCAATTCGAGGGCCAGCGCTTGTGACGTGAGCCAATACTGGCTTCTGTGTGCCCTAAGAGGTGCGACATGTGCATCTAGTCGCCACGATGTACTGTGCATGCATAAACACACGCATGCATAATAGTTGTGCGGCTAGAGGAGCTTTTCGAATAGGCATCGCGGCATTCGGGAGAGTACGCGACTCCAATGCGATTGCGGTACATGGTGTCTTGAGGCGCCCAAGTATCCGGGAGCTCGCTGGGCGCTTTGGCTCACGGGCAACGCACGAGACGGGGTCGTGTGTGCTTGGCGCGTGCAAGGGTGCACCCTGTGGGAGGTCGCGCTCCTCGTCGCGGTCCAGATCAGCAATTCAACACGTGGACGAAGCGGTAGTTCCAGCATCTCCTTACAGTGGTCGGCCGCTCTGCGAGCATGTCTTTCAGTAGCTTGCGTGGGGCGACGAGCGCACTGCAAGGAAGACTTGCCGAAGTCGTGCGACTGGACTCTAAAGCGTTGCATTATCTGCACTCCAGCCCAACACCTACAAGGAGCTAGGCCGCTCCAAGTACCGCGCGCTCAGCATTGGCTTCTTACCAACAGGCTACATGACACAATTCAGCAGATAGCAAGATGAGTCAGTCGGATCGACAATCACGAGCCTCGACGAGAGAGGGTATGAGCACCAAACTACATGTGGTGCGTTCAGGTGGCGGATCGATGACCCATTCTCGATGTGCACTGCCAGTAGTCGGCCCGAAGGCTACCACTGCCCCACACAACACTCCAGGGAAAAGAGCGCGTCAATTACACTAGCGACCCACATCGAAACCACGCGCGTCTGTGATGGCACTCAAGCCTTCCCCAGAATCAACTTTTACAAGCGTGCGCCCAATGGACGACAACGAGATCGACAGCCTACGACGGCAACTGCGGGAGGCACAGAAGCGCGCAGATGACGCCTCGAGAGAGAAGGAGGTTCAGCAGCAACGTGCAGAGAGCGAACGGCGACGCGCAGAGAGCGAACGGCGACGCGCAGAGAGCGAACGGCGACGCGCAGCTGAAGCCTCAAGAGAGGGGGAGATCCAACGGCAACGCGCAGAAAGCGAACGGCAACGTGCAGACAGCGAGCGGCAACGCGCAGACAGCGAACGGCAACGCGCTGAGGATGCAGCAGCCCAGTCACAGCAGACAACGCTGCCGGGATACATTACCAATTGTCATCGCTATCTCGACCTCAATGTCGCTGTCGAATCCGACAAGTCCCTCACCACGAAAGGAAGCATCACAAATCCTCAGGACAAGTTGGTGCCTCGGACTCTCAAGCCATGGACCGATTTTCTTGAGCAGCAGAGATCGATCCACGGAAGACTGTATTCGGTATT